GCATGCTCGCCGACCAGATTCTAAGTTTGGAGCGAGCAAATCCAGATTCGCTGGTTATTGTACTTGGCGACTTTAACAAAGGTAATCTCAGCCACGAACTCCCCAAATACAGACAATTCATTAAATGCCCTACCAGAGAAGGGAACACTCTGGATCACTGTTACACTACAGTCAGTAGAGCCTACCACGCCGTCCCCAGAGCAGCACTGGGACACTCTGACCATGTCATGGTCCACCTAATTCCTGCATACAGGCAGAAACTAAAGCTCTGTAAACCTGCTGTGAAGACATTTAAACAGTGGACTAGTGAGGCTATAGAGGAATTGCGGGCGTGCTTGGACTGTACTGACTGGGATATGTTCACGACTGCTACCAATAGTCTGGATGAACTCACAGAGGCTGTGACGTCGTACATCAGCTTCTGTGAGGACTGCTGTATTCCAACACGCACCAGGGTGAACTTCAACAACAACAAGCCCTGGTTCTCAGCAAAGCTCAGAAGGTTGAGGTTGGAGAAGGAGGAAGCGTTTAGGAGTGGGGATAGAGACAGATTCAAGGAGTTGAAGAACAGGTTTAGCAAGGCGGTGAGAGAGGCTAAACGACTGTACTCAGAGAGACTAAAACACCAGTTCTCTGCTAACGACTCTGCTTCTGTCTGGAGAGGGCTCAGGCAGATCACCAACTACAAGCCCAGAGCCCCCCCACACCACTAACGACTCCCGCCTAGCCAACGACCTGAACGAGTTCTACTGCAGATTTGAAAGACAATTGGACTGTCCTGAACAACCCCTTCCCACCCAAGAGGCCCCTATCCCACCCCACACTACAGAGACAACTATCTCCATTCAGGAGGGAGAAGTTAAAAAACTTTTCAAGAGGCAGAACCCACACAAAGCAGCTGGGCCGGACTCTGTCTCTCCAGCCACCCTCAGGCACTGCGCGGACCAGCTGTCTCCAGTGTTCACCAACATCTTTACCACCTCCATGGAGACATGTCATGTACCAGCCTGTCTCAAGTACTCCATCATCATTCCAGTGCCCAAAAAGCCAAGGCCAACAGGATTAAATGATTACAGACCCATCGCCCTTACCTCCGTGGTAATGAAGTCTTTTGAGCGCCTGGTCCTGGCACACCTCAAAGCCATCACAGACCCTCTACTGGACCCCCTTCAGTTTGCCTACAGAGCCAACAGGTCTGTGGATGACGCAGTTAACATGGCCCTCCACTTCACCCTACAGCATCTGGACTCCACAGCATCCTACGCCAGGATCCTGTTTGTGGACTTTAGCTCGGCTTTTAACACCATCATTCCTAGCCTGCTTCAGGACAAGCTCTCCCTGCTGAACGTGCCAGACTCCACCTGCAGATGGATCACAGACTTCCTGTCTGACAGGAAGCAGTGTGTCAAACTGGGATCACAAGTTTCTGCCGCCAGGTCAATCAGCACCGGATCTCCTCAGGGCTGCGTCCTTTCCCCTCTGCTATTCACCCTGTACACCAACAGCTGCACCTCCAGTCACCAGTCTGTCAAACTCTTGAAGTTTGCGGACGACACCACCCTCATTGGGCTAATCTCTGATGGGGATGAGTCTGACTATAGGAGGGAAGCTGACAACCTGGTGACCTGGTGTAGCCAGAACAACCTGGAGCTTAATGCTCTTAAGACCGTGGAGATGGTTGTGGACTTCAGGAAGAATACAGCCCCACTCACCCCCATCACCCTGTGCGACTCCCCAGTCACCAATGTTGAGTCCTTCCGCTTCCTGGGCACTATTCTTTCCCAGGACCTCAAGTGGGAACTGAACATCAGCTCCCTTATCAAGAGAGCTCAACAGAGAATGTACTTCCTACGGCAGCTGAAGAAATTTAATCTGCCAAAGACAATGATGGTGTGCTTCTATACAGCTATCATTCAGTCCATCCTCACCTCCTCCATCACCGTCTGGTACGCTGCTGCAACTGCCAAGGACAAGAGCAGACTGCAGCGTATCATCAGCACTGCTGAGAAGGTGATTGGCTGTAATCTACCAACCCTTGAGGACCTGCACACTTTGAGGACCCTGAAGCGAGCGAGGAAGATTGCGGACGATTCCTCGCACCCTGGATACTCTCTGTTCCAGCTACTCTCCTCCGGCAGAAGGCTGCGGTCCATCAAGACCAAAACCTCACGTCATAAAAACAGTTTTTTCCCATCTGCTGTTGGCCTCCTCAACAAGGCCAAGGGCTTAAAATGACTTTTACACTTAAAATGACTTTTACACTTAAAATGACTGTTACACTTACTATAACATTTTATCTACATAATAACACCTTTCCATACTTACAACGTGTAATCTTATTTGTATTTTTGTATTTTAAGATTGTTTAATACGGCTAATTAACATTTTACATTCGCATTTTATAAGGTCTACTTATTCATAATTTTAAAGATTTTAGCCCTTTGGTATTACTTATACTTTGTAACGTTAGTATAGTTAGAGTGTATACCTTTTATATAAGTTAAGATTCCTACTTGTTCAATGTATGCACCGTCCCGCCATAGTGAATTCCTTGTTTGTGCAAACTTACATGGCGATTAAAACCGTTTCTGATTCTGATTCTGATTCTCTATACCAGGCGAGGTAGTTAACATCTCCTAGCCACTCTGGCGCCCGTTTTGGTAGCGCGGTTGTGCAAACAGCTGCGCTACCGCTCTCGAGAAAAACAAAAGCGTCGAGCGACTCCGCAGGACGCAAGCATCTCGCGGGGAAGATTGCTCGCCATTAAAGTAATCTCCTCGGCGAGGAACGCTGGCGTCTCCAAATGCTCCTGCCATAGAGAAGGCCAAATGCACCCCCCCCCCCCAGATTGCCTCTTGAGAGCTCCCTCTCCCTCTCTCCATCGCTCTCTCTCTCATGGAAACCCTTCTGCCGGCAAGAAATTGCAGGGCTGCGCCTTTATGCTTATTTCGGAGAAAGAAAACAAAACGAGGGAGGGGCTGCTGCTGACGATGAGACGGCTGTGAACGCGTGGCGATCTGGAAGCATCGCCGGCCGAAAATACTCCACACGTACAACAGGGTCGCCGAAGTGCAAATGTGAGAATATATATATTTAGCACGGATGATGGAGCGTAATGATAGCCGCACATACATGCATGCATGCTGTCAATTAGCCAGCAGTTGACTCTAATTCAGCAGGGTCCCGTAATTGGAATATTCGGCCAATTTCAAGGTCTTCCAAAGATACGCGACTGCCTGCCTCTCCCCTCTCATCTCACTCCACTCCCCTCCACCCACTCTCCTAGCTCTCCCCTCTCATCTCACTCCACTCCCCTCCACCCACTCTCCTACCTCTCCCCTCTCATCTCACTCCACTCCCCTCCACCCACTCTCCTACCTCTCCCCTCTCATCTCACTCTACTCCCCTCCACGCACTCTCCTACCTCTCCCCTCTCATCTCACTCTAATCCCCTCCACGCACTCTCCTACCTCTCCCCTCTCATCTGACTCTACTCTCCTCCACGCACTCTCCTACCTCTCACCTCTCATCTCACTCTACTCCCCTCCATGCACTCTCCTACCTCTCCCCTCTCATCTCACTCTACTCCCCTCCACGCACTCTCCTACCTCTCCCCTCTCATCTCACTCTACTCCCCTCCACGCACTCTCCTACCTCTCCCCTCTCATCTCACTCTACTCCCCTCCACGCACTCTCCTGCCTCTCCCCTCTCATCTCACTCTACTCCCCTCCACCCACTCTCCTACCTCTACCCTCTCATCTCACTCTACTCCCCTCCACACACTCTCCTGCCTCTCCCCTCTCATCTCACTCTACTCCCCTCCACACACTCTCCTACCTCTCCCCTCTCATCTCACTCTACTCCCCTTTACGCACTCTCCTACCTCTCCCCTCTCATCTCACTCTACTCCCCTCCACGCACTCTCCTGCCTCTCCCCTCTCATCTCACTCTACTCCACTCCACGCACTCTCCTACCTCTCCCCTCTCATCTCACTCTACTCCCCTCCACGCACGCTCCTACCTCTCCCCTCTCATCTCACTCTATTCCTCTCCACACACTCTCCTACCTCTCCCCTCTCATCTCACTCTACTCCCCTCCACGCACTCTCCTACCTCTCCCCTCTCATCTCACTCTACTCCCCTCCACACACTCTCCTACCTCTCTCCTCTCATCTCACTCTACTCCACTCCACACACTCTCCTACCTCTCCCCTCCCATCTCACTCTACTCCCCTCCACGCACTCTCCTACCTCTCCCCTCTCATCTCACTCTACTCCCCTCTACACACTCTCCTACCTCTCCCCTCTCATCTCACTCTACTCCACTCCACACACTCTCCTACCTCTCCCCTCCCATCTCACTCTACTCCCCTCCACGCACTCTCCTACATCTCCCCTTTCATCTCACTCTACTCCCCTCCACGCACTCTCCTACCTCTCCCCTCTCATCTCACTCTACTCCCCTCTACACACTCTCCTACCTCTCCCCTCTCATCTCACTCTACTCCACTCCACACACTCTCCTACCTCTCCCCTCCCATCTCACTCTACTCCCCTCCACGCACTCTCCTACATCTCCCCTTTCATCTCACTCTACTCCCCTCCACGCACTCTCCTACCTCTCCCCTCTCATCTCACTCTACTCCCCTCTACACACTCTCCTACCTCTCCCCTCTCATCTCACTCTACTCCACTCCACACACTCTCCTACCTCTCCCCTCCCATCTCACTCTACTCCCCTCCACGCACTCTCCTACATCTCCCCTTTCATCTCACTCTACCCCCATCATCACCCTCTCTGCTCCATAAACCAAGGCCTTTTGTCAAGAGCTTGGTTGAATGGAGATTTGAGCCGTGAGCGTCATAAGAGCCGTGTCAGGTGAGCGGCGAGTTTCTGGAGCAGGGTCAGGTGAGTTTGGTCAGACAAGTGTCGGGTCAGCTCGCCCGTAGGATAGTCTGCCCTCGAGTCTGCACATTCACGGCCGCGTTGATTTCTCACCGATTGTAGAAATCCTCTCGGTAGTAGTCGTAGTCAAAATCAAAGCTGCTCCTGCAAATGGAGAAGGGGGGAGGGAGAACAAGATTACAAGCCTGTCCCATTAGACACAAGCCAATCCACAGAGTGAGCCCACGACTCGATTCTAAGGGCATAATGTATTGGAGGTGGGATAGAACACAATTACAAGCCTGTCCCATTAGACACAAGCCAATCCACAGGGTGAGCCCACGACTCGATTCTAATGGCATCATGTATTGGAGAAGGGAAGAGAGAAAATTACAAGCCTGTCCCATTAGACACAAGCCAATCCACACAGTGAGCCCACGACTCGATTCTAATGGCATCATGTATTGGAGAAGGGAAGAGAGAAAATTACAAGCCTGTCCCATTAGACACAAGCCAATCCACACAGTGAGCCCACGACTCGATTCTAATAGCATCATGTATTGGAGAAGGTGGGAGAGTACAAAATTACAAGCCTGTCCCATTAGACACAAGCCAATCCACACAGTGAGCCCATGACTCGATTATAAGGGCATCATGTATAGGAGAAGGGGAGAGAGAAAATGACAAGCCTGTCCCATTAGACACAAGCCAATCCACAGAGTGAGCCCACAACTCGATTATAAGGGCATCATGTATAGGAGAAGGGGAGAGAGAAAATTACAAGCCTGTTCCATTAGACACAAGCCAATCCACAGAGTGAGCCCACGATTCGATTCTAATGGCATCATGTATTGGAGAAGGGGAGAGAGAAAATTACAAGCCTGTCCCATTAGACACAAGCCAATCCACAGAGTGAGCCCACGATTCGATTCTAATGGCATCATGTATTGGAGAAGGGGAGAGAGAAAATGACAAGCCTGTCCCATTAGACACAAGCCAATCCACACAGTGAGCCCACGACTCGATTCTAATAGCATCATGTATTGGAGAAGGTGGGAGAGTACAAAATTACAAGCCTGTCCCATTAGACACAAGCCAATCCACAGGGTGAGCCCATGACTCGATTCTAAGGGCACCGTGTACATAGTTCGTATGACGGATCACGGCTCGTATCAATAACTCGGACGAACTTCGCGCAGCCCAAACAGCACGGCCAGGAGCTGAGCCAACTTATAATGCGTCAAATTCACGAGACAATTAGTTATTCACAGCTGCCGTGTATGTATAATATATAGGATGTCCGAAAACGAATATGCCAAAAATAACATTTAATCGTTTTCATTGTTATTCGAGATACTGACGGAAATGTAATATTAATACATGTAATAGGCATAAGTTTAAGTTTATTTGTTTTGTATGGTATTAATTAGATATTCTCAAATTAGAAAGAAACTTTTACATGTGGTCGATCATTCACTATAATTAATCTAATTCTGCGTTCAAACTCTGAAAACATCTTTTGTAACACAGCTTTAGAGAAGGGTGATGACACAGCACTAACAACAATACGATGAAATTTTGATTTAAAGCTTTCGTGACTGCAGGGATTCATATTCTTGGTTCTTTCGGTAAAGTCACGTCACCACAGCAAGAAAATGTTCTTGCTGTGGATTTCACACCTGATGATGATTGCTTGTGTTGCAGTCGAAACGTCATGAGAATTTTTATTGTTTTATATTTATATTATTTTATTATTTCCGTTCTACGTGACTTTACCGAAAGAACCAAGACTAACAATGCGATGTTTAAGTTCTTCAAGGTTCCTTGGTTTGCTGCTGTAGACTTCACTTTGTAAAATAACCCCAGAGATAAAAAAAACTCTAATAGTTTTAAGTTGGGTGCACGGGCAGACTCCGCTGTTCTGCACGACGTCCGACGTTTCGCTCCACGCGCTGGGAGCTTCTTCAGGAACTGAGTGGCGCGTGTTCTCTCTCTCTCTATCACTTCGTTAAAAAGGCGCGCCGCGGTGGTGAGATGTTAACTTCCTCGCCTGGTGTACAGGAGGTCGTGGGTTCGATCCCGACCCTGACGCCTGCTGCTGTGTATTTGGAGGCTGCGGTGTCTCTCTCTCTCTCTCATCATCATCGCGGTGGCTAGGAGATGTTAACTACCTCGCCTGGTATGCAGAAAGTCGTGGGTTCGATCCCGATCCCGACCCTGACGCCTGCTGCTGTATATTTGGAGTTCGCGGTGTCTCTCTCTCTCTATCTCTGTGGTCACTTTAAATTTTCTCCGGGTCCTCCGGTTTTCCCCTCCCCATTTAGAATCAACATCACGCGCTCAGCGTATTTGGCTGCTGCTTTAGATTTCCACACGACGATAAGCCACTTTGTTGAGCTATCATTTGTGGCCCTAGTTCGCTTCTGAAAAAGAGCTACTACATAGCTCAGTGGGCTTGACCTGGTAAAATAAAAAGAGTTTAGTTTATGTCTATATAGCTACGTGTGTGTGTGTTTATGTGCGTAAGTGTAGCGGTTAGCGTGTTGCGCTACGAACCTGGTGACCCGAGTTCGATTCCCGCTCAAGGCCAACACCAGTGACGATTATCTGAACCGGTCCTGGGCCTCCCGTTAGGTCGACTCAGCCTCAAATGAGTAACATGGTGCGATGCCTAAACATCGCCGCTAGGGAAACATAGGCGGCCGGGCGTGGTGCTGGCCACCCACCCCCTCGTGTGCACGTGCCGGGCTTGCGAACAGCACTTGCCCTCAATAGTCTGTTACAGGCTATACGGGTGTTCTTTGTCTTTGTTATAGTGTGGGGCACGCAGAGCCACCTCGTGGACTTGCATTGCTCAAAGGTAAAGGGGCGGCCCCTGCAATTGCCCCGCGAGCGCCACTGCCCCGGCAGACGGGACTCCTGCACTCGGGAGCTCCTCCTGCTCGAGGCGGCATCTGGCCTGAATGGTGTTTGTTGCGCAGCAGCGCTGGGAATGTTTGCACCACAATTGGATATCGCGCGCCGTAGAAAAACGGAGGTGGCTCGTGAACACGCAGCCGGGGGGGGGGGGGGGGGTCTGTTCGTGTCGTTGGCTGCTCGTTCTGCATCCGGCGATCGCGCGCGGCGCGGCTGCCGCTTGCGAAGAGAATCGTCCACGCGTTCATCCGTCCAGTGTCTCCATACCGCCGTGCCCCCCCCCCCCCCAGTGTCTCCATACAGCCGTGCCCCCCCCCCCAGTGTCTCTCTATACTACCGTGCCCCCCCCCCGCCCCTAACATTTATCATCGCTCCCCACACCGGTGCTCCGCTTCCCCCCCCCCCTTCTCCCCCTCCCCCCTCTACGGCTTACACACACGTGTTGCGTGCGTCCCTGCTCCTTCCCAAACTCACCCTGCACCCCCCCCCCCTACCACCCTCACCACCCTCACCACATTCACCACCACCACCACCCCCCCAGCACCACCACCACCCCCCCCCCCCAGCGCCACCACCACCACCTTCCCCCAGTGGTGGTGGTGGTGCTGGGGGTGGTGGTGGTGGTGGTGCTGGGGGTGGGGGTGGTGGTGGTGCTGGGGGTGGTGGTGGTGCTGGGGGTGGTGGTGGTGCTGGGGGTAGTGGTGGTGGTGGTGGTGCTGGAGGTGGTGGCGGTGCTGGAGGTGGTAGTGGTGCTGGAGGTGGTGGTGGTGCTGGGGGTGGTGGGGGTGGTGGTGGTGCTGGGGGGGGGGGTGGTGGTGGTGGTGCTGGGGGTGGTGGTGCTGGGGGTTGTGGGGGTGGTGGGGTGGTGGTGGTGATGGGGGTGGTGGTGGTGCTGGGGGTGGTGGTGGTGCTGGGGGTGGTGGTGGTGCTGTGGGTGCTGGGGTGTGGTGCTGGGGGGGGTGCTGAGGGGGGGGGGGTGGTGGTGCTGGAGGTGATGGCGGTGCTGGAGGTGGTGGTGGTGGTGCTGGGGGTGGTGGTGGTGCTAGGGGTGGTGGGGGTGGTGGGGGTGGTGGGGGTGGTGGGGGTGCTGGTGGTGCTGGGGGGGGGGGGGTGGTGGTGGTGGTGCTGGGGGTGGTGGTGGTGCTGGGTTTGGTGGTGGTGCTGGGGGTGGTGGTGGTGGTGCTGGGGGTGGTGGTGCTGGTGGTGGTGCTGGGGGTGGTGGTGGTGCTGGGGGTGGTGGTGGTGGTGCTGGGAGTGGTTGTGGTGCTAGGGGTGCTGGGGGGGGGGGGTGGTGGTGGTCCTGGTGGTGCTGTGGGTGCTGTGGGTGCTGGGGGTGGTGGTGCTGGGGGTGGTGGTGCTGGGGGGGGGGTGCTGAGGGGGTGGGGGCGCGCGGCCGCCGAGGGGACGCGGCTGATGAGATCGTGTCACGTGCAGCTTGCCGAGTGGATCGTGAACATCGCAGAAGCGTGGGGTTCACCGAAGATGATGATGATGAAGATGATTGACGAATGTTCAATGTGAAAGTAATAATGCCGTCTTATTTACGGGGGGCAGCCTCGCTGAGTCTCAAGAATTGCTGCAAGGAGAGTTCCTGCTACATTGGGGATGTTTTGTCAACGGCCCTAATGAGCGTAGTGATTCATCAATCACTGTCATCGTTAACACGGCCTCATATCAGCAGCAGCGGCAGCAGCAGCATCATCATGGGGTGGTGGGGAGGCGGTGGACCGGCGTTCGAGTCGCCCCATCCTTCCACCCCGTCAGTACCGTCGCCCTCGCCGACCGACCGGGGAAGATGATGATGATACGACCGGCGGAGCGAATTCTGTCTGCGAGTTCCTTCTCTCCGAGTCCCTGGTCTCAAACGTTGAATACATCTTCTTGGTTCTATCGGTAAAGTCACGTAGAAGAGAAATAATAATGTTTTTATTTTGATTATTTTATTATTTCCCTTCTACGTGACTTTACCGAAAGAACCAAGAAGATGAATCCCTGCAGTCACGAACGCTTTAAATCGAAAGTTAATGATTTTATTATTTTTATTATTTTATTATTTCCCTTCTACGTGAATTTACCGAAAGAACCAAGAAGATGAATCCCTGCAGTCACGAACGCTTTAAATCGAAAGTTAATGATTTTATTATTTTTTATTATTTTATTATTTCCCTTCTACGTGACTTTACCGAAAGAACCAAGAAGATGAATCCCTGCAGTCACGAAAGCTTTAAATCGAAAGTTGAATACATCGGCAACAGCAGTGGCATCAGCCGTCTCCATGACCTGGCGAGTGCCGAATCAAAATGACCGCTCATGTTTTTTTGACTCTTTTTTTGTTGTAAGATGTGTCTGCTGTTCAATGTATCCACGAACGGAGAATGTTTTTTTACTCTTAGGTTTTTTTCGGTAAAGTCACGTAGGTAAAAAAATAAAAATAATTGAGATAATAATAAAATTTAAATAATAAATCACGACGTTTCGGAGGCAACACAAGTCTCCGTTATCAGGTGGGACCGTTACTGTATCAAGGGATAATGTTTTTTTTTATGACGCCAATACGGGACTTCCTTTGTCAACTTTGGCACAAAAATCCATCCGGTTTTATCATGACTCCCCCGCGGTGGAAAACGAGTTATCAAACTACAAGTCGATGTCTCTGCCGCATCCCTCTCCACAGGGCCATCGTTCCAAAATTCCTTCCTTACCGCATCTGCCCTCTCACTTAAAAAAGCAGGCGAAGAACTTCCGCGGATTTCTACCGGCGAATTGCAGCAGCGGCAGTGGTGGCGGTGGCAATGAAAATGTGCCATTGCTAAACTAAACTGAATATTTTTTTTATTTTATTTCACCAGGTCAGGCCCCCGCTGGGCTGTGTAGCTCTTTTTCAGAAGCGACCTGGACACATATTATAGCTCAACGAAGTGGCTTATCAAGTGGAAATTCACAGAAGCCAAACAACTCTCTAAACTCGTGTTTCTAAACGTGGAAGGAAACAAAAAACCGGAGGACCTGGAGAGAAATCCTCGCGGCCACAGGGAGAACATGTAAACTCCCAATTATACGGGGGCGTCAGGGTCGGGATCAAACTCACGAACCTCCCGTACACCAGGCGAGGTAGTTAACATCTTGTCACCGTGGCACCGCCAATGCCCACCCTGCAGCAGCTGCCACGCTCACTCAATGGAAAGGGACTTGCGCGGTTTGTTACTGGTGACTCGCGGGAGCAATCGTGGCAGTGGAGGCGGCGGCGGTGGTGGCGGTGGCGGTGGCGGTGGCGGTAGTGGCGGTGGCGGTGGCGGCGGTGGCGGTGGTGGCGGTGGTGGCGGTGGTGGTGGTGGTGGCGGTGGTGGTGGCGGTGGTGGCGGTGGTGGCGGTGGTGGCGGTAGTGGTGGTGGCGGTGGTGGTGGTGGCGGTGGTGGTGGTGGCGGTGGTGGTGGTGGTGGTGGTGGCGGTGGCGGTGGTGGCGGTGGTGGCGGTGGTTGCGGTGGTGGTGGTGGCGGTGGTGGTGGCGGTGGTGGCGGTGGTGGTGGGGGTGGTGATGTAACGGGGGCTAAGAGTTCGGTCGGACTCAGCGCCCCGTCGTCCTGTGCGTGACGGCACACACAGGCTCCACCACGCGCGCACGCGGGGTTAACTCATTATTTCACAAAGAGCCAACCTCTCACTCCGCCGCCAAATTACTTCCCGGGGCTGTGCAAGGGGAGGGGGTGAGGGGGGGTGAGGGGGGGGTGAGGGGGGGGGCTGCTCCCCGCGCGCGCCACGCGTCGGGACGCAGCTCTGGCGACTACTAATTTGCAAAAAAAATATTACCCACGAACTCACACTCCCCCCAACTCCACACACTCACTCACCCACCCACCTGGCTACGTACGGTGCGAAAGAAGTTCAACATGCATATACCCAAACCAACAACTTACTGACAAACTCATCTTCAGCTGACTCTCACCGGCCCACTCACCGGCCCACTCACCGGCCCACTCACCGGCCCACTCACCGGCCCACTCACCGGCTCACTCACCAGCCCACTCACCGGCCCACTCACCAGTTCACTCACCAGCCCACTCACCAGCTCACTCACCAGCCCACTCACCAGCTCACTCACCAGCCCACTCACCAGCTCACTCACCAGCCCACTCACCAGCTCACTCACCAGCCCACTCACCAGTTCACTCACCAGCTCACTCACCAGCTCACTCACCAGCTCACTCACCAGCCCACTCACCAGCCCACTCACCAGCTCACTCACCAGCCCACTCACCAGCCCACTCACCAGCCCACTCACCAGCCGACTCACCAGCTCACTCACCAGCTCACTCACCAGCCCACTCACCAGCTCACTCACCAGCCCACTCACCAGCTCACTCACCAGCCCACTCACCAGCTCACTCACCAGCCCACTCACCAGCCCACTCACCAGCCCACTCACCAGTTCACTCACCGGCTCACCTTACTCATCCATTCACTTGCTCGCTCCGGTCAGCCGCCTCTTCATCACTCTCCCATCGCTACTGCCATGGTTACCGGTCCAATGAACATCGCTAGCAGACTCCTCTAGCCGCCTTGAGGACACTCACTGTTTCGTCTCACCCACCACACTCTGTGTTCAACAACCACCATCACACTGTAGATCACAACAAAGACAAAGATCCCCCGTATAGACTGAACAGATTGTTGGGGAAAGTGCTGTTAGCGAACACCTATGAAGGCCGGAACGGTACACGAAGGGGTGGGTGGCCAGCACCATGCCCGAACGCCTTTGTCTCTCCAGTGGCGATGTTTACACACCGCACCGGGTACTCATTTGAGGCTGAGTCAACCTAGGGGAGGCCCAGAACCGGTTCAGATAATCGTCACTGGTGTTGGCCGTGAGCGAGAATCGAACTCGGGTCGCCGGGTTCATAGCGCAGCGCGCTAACCGCTACACTATCGCTCCCCACATCGCCCAACACTCACTCACTCACTCACCTCCTCACCCGCTAACCTACTCACACACTCACTTACCATCTCACCCACTTTGCCACTCACCCACCCACCCACTCACCACGCTGCAAGCCACAACTCCAAACTCACTATTCACCCACCCACTCACCACGCTGCATGCCACCTCATTTCTCTTTCCATGTTTTTCCGACTCACTGCTCCACACTTGGGAAATCCGTGGTCATCACCTTAGTTTTCCTCCACTAAGTTTTTTAGGTATTTTTTTACACACCATCGCCCAATTAAAACGTGTTAACTCTTATCCATTACACATGCGGCCCTGCTGTAAGTTGCCGGTCTGCTCAGCATTTTTTAAAAGACCACTAAATAAAGCCACCCCCGTATTATTCACAAAGCACATCGTGGCGGGGTCGTGGTGGTTGGTGGTGGTTGGTGGTGGTTGTGGAATGGCTCGGTGGCTTATCCGTATCCACGGAAATTACTGGGCTGCTGCTGTTACTGGCCCATGACTCACGGGGTTACAAATCGTTGTGTGCTCTGGCCCGTTCCGGGCTCCAGCCGTTAACAATAATCACAGGGCGGCGGCCGCACGATTTTCCCCATTTAACGCCGCGTGTCGCTCGCGAGACGGTAACATCTCATCTTCTTGTCGTTATGTTCATTGTATTCGAGCCGCGACGAGCGGCGTTTTTCCTCTTCGTTTAAACGGGCGGCTTACACGGCGAGCGCTTCGTTACTTGTCTATGACGCTACGTGCGGGGGTTGCGAGTCACGTGGTCTCCTTTTTTTTTGGGGGGGGGGGGGGGGAGTGGATTTGTTTTTTTTATTTGCGAGGGAGCCGCTCCGCTATTTGCGAGTCGGAGTGGATTGGGGGAAGGGGGGGTCGCTACGAAGCTTTCGGGACACCGTTGATTGTTTGCTGCGTTTTAATTTTCGCGTCCTATTCCTCCCTCCCCCACTTGCTTCATCGCCGATTGCGCGGCGAGGCGTCAAGTTCCCCCGCAACCTCCGACGAGCACCGTTCGCCAGAGGTCGCAAACGGGTTTTGATTCCTTACCCGTACCCGGCCGTACCCGGCCGCACCAGGGTCGCAAATGGGTACCCGTACCCGGGTACAGGTAGGGAACGGGTACCCATAACCGGCCGGGTACGGGTACCCGTTCCCTACCTGTACCCGTACCCTACCCGAAATGAGTGACAAACGGTTACTCAACAGTGACTCACGGCCTATCCGTACCCGTACCCGGCCGCACCAGGGTCGGGTAGCCGGGTATCGGGTACCCGGTTGCGACCTCTGCCGTTGGCTACGCACGGCGCGCAAGAGGTTCAAGGTGCGTTCGAGACACTTCATTCTCGCGCTTGAGCTGCGTCACCCTTCAAGGATGAGCCGCCACGACCACGGGACAAGAGGTCACTGGGGCCTCTGAGGCAGGCCATCCAAAACAGCCGCTCATCTGCGGCAATTGTGGATGTGATTTTTTTTTAAAAAAAAAAAAAGCTCCTTTTAAGCATTGCATTTCGCGTCTTCAACAACGCTCAGAAATAACTAAACAAGGCGAAACCGGCTCGACGCAATCGCAAGAATTTAGATGGGACTCCTGGAGCCCCCATTTGTTGTGTATCTGTGAACAAATAGAAACGCAGGGGGAGGGAATGGAGCGAACAGAAGACAGGCAGGAGAGAGAGAGAGAGTGGATGTTTAGATGTATATCGAGCCGTAGCACCGCTGAGAAGATGAGTGGCCCTTGCTGCGCTCACCGCTGTGGCCAAACCCAAGCGCTTATTTTCATTTTAGATTTTAAAAAAGGAATCGAACGATCGGGAGCGTCCACACGTCCAAACATCAGCCGCGGCCGTGGCGTGATTCAAATCCGCTGTGGTGGGAATTCCACATGGCGAGGACGGACCACACCGTCGCTCCAAAGTTAACCGGCCCCAGTGTGACACTGATGATGGTGGTGGTGGTGGCGATGACAGTGACGTCGGCTTTACCCGTAGAGTGCAGCGGCTGCCCTCTTGCCGCCTCCTGGCTTGTGGCGGTTTGGCTTGGGCTCCCCGGCCATGTTGATGTCTGTCAGAAGAACCACACGGACACGCACACAGAGAGCGAGAGAGAGAGAGAGAGACGGAGAGGGAGATTGACATGAATCAGATAGGGTGTATTTATACCGGAGCTTCCAAAGTTCTTTTTTCACCGATGTCCCAGAAAGTGTTCACAGATGTCCTGTGGAGATGGGAGTGGGAGACGGAGAGGTGGACACAATCACAGTCAGAATATTTATTTATTTCGTTTGACTAAGTAAAATAATTTAAATTGTTATTTTAATTTCAACCGGGTAAGGCCCCACTGAGCGATGTCACTCTTGTTCAGAAGCGACCTGGCCGCAGATGATAGCCCAACGAAGTGGCTTATCGTCATGTGGAAATTCATAGCAGACAAATAATTAATCTAAACGCACGTTTCTAAATGTGGAGGGAAAAAAAACGGAGGACCCGGTGAAAATTTCACGCGACCACGGAAAGAGAGACACGCAGAACTACAAATATACAGCAGGCATCAGAGTCGGAATCACACCCACAACCTCCTGTAAACCAGGCGAGGTAGTTAACATCTCACAGAAGTACCAAGCAATGCCGCTCCGTCCTGGTGGGGGCAGAACTGGTTCACAGATCGCTCACCAATGACGTTAGCCGTGGTTGGAAATTGAACTCAGGTTGTCGGGGTTGAGTGCGCCAGTGAGCGAACCACACATCCCCGTCACCCGCGCTCCAACGACCGATGCATTTTCCCCTGGCCGTGTCGCTTCTGCTGTGCGTAAAAGTTCGTCGCACGCCAAGTCAAACCCAATTTGATCGAATTCTCTTTCGAAAGTTGTAATCTAACGGGATTAAGTGGTAAAACCACTTAACGCGATAAAATATCTGTGGAGCCATTGGTGGCCTGGGCTGAGATCACCAACTCGATAAAACTTTGAGTCGCCGGTTTAAAATCACCGAAATGCAGAAACACCATCCCAGTATCTCAGCGGTGCCGACACGGCGTCCGACCTCTGCACCACACGGTCATTCACACCAGCGCCCCGTTCAATATGCAGGGTGGCTCAAAAGTCAGGACACACAAGTTCGTTCGTTGGTTTCTGAATCCGCTTGAACTGGTGAGGGTCGCGGGGATAGCATGTTGAGTCGGGTGGTCCAGACTCCCCTTACTCTGGTGACAGACTCCAGCACTACACCACTATACACTACACTACTATACACTATAAACTACACTACTATACACTACTACACACTACACTATTATACACTACTATACACTACTCCACACTACACTACTATACACTTGCACTATACACTACTACACACTACACTACACGATACACTACACACTACACTACTATACACTATACTACTATACACTACACTATACACTACACACTACACTACTATACACTACACTATTATACATTACACTACTATACACTACACTATACACTACACGACTATACACTACTACACACTACACACTACACTACTACACACTACATTACTATACACTACACTATACACTACACTACTATCCACTACTACACTACACCACACTACACTACTATACACTACACTATACACTACACTACTATACACTGCTACACACGGCACTATTATACACTACACTACTATACACTACACTATACACTACACTACACACTACACTACTATACACTACACTATACACTACACTACTATACACTACACACTACACTACTACACACAGACTCTAGCTCTTCCTGGGGAATTCCCAGGCGTTCCCAGGCCAGCCGAGCGACACAGTCTCCCACCACCACCACCGCCAGCAGCAGCGTGTCCTGGGCCGGCCCCGGGGTCTTGGCCCAGTGCGACGTTGTTGCTGCTGCCCGGTAGAGTTTCAGGGGCAGTCTACTGGGCGGGCTTCCTTTACCAGGTGCCCGAGCCACCTCAACTGGCTCCTCTCGATCCGGAGGAGCAGCAGCGGCTCGACTCCAGAGGTCGCAAACGGGTTTTAATTCCTTACCCGTACCCGTACCCGGCCGCACCAGGGTCGCAAATGGGTTCCCGTACCCGTACCCAGCCAGGTACGGGTACCCATACTCTACCCGTACCCTACCCGAAATGAGTGACAAACGGTTACTCACCAGTGACTCACGGCCTACCCGTACCCGGCCGCACCAGGGTCGCAAACGGGTACCCGTACCCGGCCAGGTACGGGTAGCCGGGTATCGGGTAAGGTACGGGTATCGGGGGGTACCCGGTTGCGACCTCTGCTCGACTCTGAGGCTCTCCTCGGTTTACCGAGCTTCTCACCCGGTCACGGAGAGTGGTGAGCCCGGAAACCACGCGGAGAAAATTCATTTCGGCACCTTTTTACCCGCGACACACAAGTGTCCTTACATTTATCTTAACACTGGTATTAATAAAAAAAAATGCATTGTTATTCTCTAAGTAAATATTTAATCTATTTTCATGATTAATATATACGTCTTCTTTCCGTGGGGGTATTAGGAAACCACTTGAGCAACGCACTTTTAAATCTAGAGTTGTCAACTATTTTTTTTAGAACTTATTTTTGTGTTTAGTTTGTTGTCCTACCACCGCACTTCCGATTAGCACGGTTGGCTACGTACGGTGCGAAAGAAGTTCTACGTACGCACACCACACAACTGTCGTTTTTTTCAAAACTGCACCAACAAGGAACATTTGTGAATGAATTGAGACGTGAAACATAATTGACGAACGTTCAAATAGAACGCATGTGCCCTTAAAACAAGCCCGACATTTTCGCACGAGAATTCATCCATCATGGCATGAATATTAAATTGCAGTCGGCTCGAACATTTGCTAGATTAAATCACCCTACGCGATGCGTTACGATAAAGATTACGTGCGTCCTGACTTCAGGTCCACTCTGCACGTAACAGACTTCCACGGGACCCCCCCCCCCGAAAGGCGAAACGGGTCGGCGAATACTCCGGCAGCCCTCCTAAAAAGGGAAGTCGGGATTTTGCTGAATCGTGAAGCTCGCGTGATGCTGGGGGAAGCATTCTATTCCGTGGGATTGTTATCGCGGTCCTAATTAAACGTCTCCAAATCACATCGCGTAGCTTAATTATACTCTGCACGTGGGTTTTTTTGGGTGGTTTGTTTTGCCTTTAAAATAATCCTGCCATCTAAATTGTTTTTTTTTTTTTGCGTGTGGCTCACACGAACGAATACATACACACGCAAGCACAAACGAAGATCCCCCATATAGCCTTTAATAGACTGTGGAGGGTAAGTGATCGTAGTGATGTAAGCCAGCACCGATGAAGAAGAGAGGTGGGTGGCCAGCATCGCGCCCGGCCGCCTTTGTCTCCCCACCGCTGATGTTTACACGCCGCACCAGGTACTCATTTGATGCCAAGTCGACCTAGAAGACGCCCAGGACCGGCTCAGATATCTCACCACCGATGTTGGCCGTGTGCGTAGCGCAGTGCGATAGCAACTACACTGCCGCAACCCAGAGACAAAGGCCGTTCTTCCCCCTTGTAGCATTAACAGACTGTTGGGGAGCCAGCACCACGCCCGGCCGCCTTTGTCTCTCTCGTGGCGACATTTACGCATCGCACCAGGTGCTCATTTGAAGCCGAGTCTACCTAGGAGAGGCCCATGATCGGTTCGGATAATCGTCACTGGTGTTGGTGGCCGTGAGCGGGAATCGAACTCGGGTCGCCGGGTTCGTAGCGCAGCGTAGCGCTAACCGCTAAATGAGACACGCGCACAAACACACGCTCATCCGAACGCACACATAACAAACGCATACATTACAATGGCATGCACGTGCATGCCATTATACTTTAAATCCTCTGATTGCAGTGATTGTACTGCGGGTAAAAAGATTATCTGTAAATTGAAACGGCCGACTATTTATGACAATGATAACAATCGTCGAAATCAAGGGATAGCTTTTGTGAAAGCCGGGTGAAAAAAAAACAAGAATAAGTTTTTTAAAGGAGCACGTTCATTGATTAATTTAGTTTGCTCTCTCTGAGCTGCTACGGGAGAGAATCCTCAAGGAGCAGTGCGTTTGACAGCCTCGGCCTTATATTGGATTAACTGCCGCATCAAGAAAAAAAATACACGGACTCGTTCAAAGACAAAGGTGCCACCAGCTGTAGCATTTCAGCAAAGTGGGCTCTTGAAGCCAAGAATGATTTTCGGTCAGGTGCGCTCCATAACAAGATTAATATACAATATATACGGTGCGGTTATTTATGTAGGAGGGGATGGACATGGGTTTGGAAAGTTGCATTTTAAATCGTTTGGCAAATGTATTTGAAATTTGTTCACAAAAAAAACTTGCATTGCGTAAAATGGAGTAAATGCAGCCCGTGCAATTGCCTGCTCACGCCACCGCTGGTGAAAGAGCTTCAACGACAGCGAGCTGTAAACAGCTGCCCGCCTCTGAATGGTTATTTGGCCTACTCTTCCACACTGGCCAGACGTCTCGGAAGAGGTGGCGCCGGTTCACAGGCGAACTGCCGGTGAGACTGGGTGGAAAGAGGGTGGATTAAAAACAAAAAAATTCGCGCCAAGGTTTTGACTGCCGCGGCAAGGAAATAGAATCGAAGCGGCCACCCTCAGCATCGCAAGTGGAGTCTGACGAACAATCATCCCGCGGCACCGTGTTGGGGGGCAGGGGGGAGGCAGAGAGGGGGGGGCAGCGATGTTTTATATTTATGAAAAATGTATAAAGAAAAAAAAAGAGACTTTCAAAATTGAAGTATCCACGTGATTTGGTGGCGGTACACTCAGCTGTGAGAGTAGAAATCATGAGAAAGCCTTGGAGTGAGAAGTAATTTGTCAGTTCAGTAGGCGTCTCATCTCGGCGACGGACGGGACAACGAACCCATGCGCGGGGTGGATGGTGCGCGGCGCGGAGAGGTTCTGGGAAGGGGGCCTTTCACGCGGCAAGGGCACGCAAAGCGATTCGGAATTCCAGAAGAGAGGAGGACACTGCGGGTTAGGTGCCTCCGTTAGGGCTGCGCTACGAACCCGACC